TCCTTCGTATTCATCATCTTCCTTATAAATCCCGTTCTAGCATCATTGTCCTTTTTGCCCCCTAAAATTTGTGTGTTTCCATTATTGGAAATCAAGAGTGCCTTAAAGGTATTTTCTTTCTTTCCTTTTCATTTTGTGACTGCATTACTTTATTAGTATTGTTCCTTAAGGTGTCGTGAATCAAACATTTGTCATTGCCTTTCTTTTGTACAGTGTTTTGTACATTTAAACAATTTTCGTACTCATCATTGCATTTGTTCTGATTGTCTTCTAAAAAATAACAACCCTGTCTCAAATAATAAATATGTTATGACTAAGAGTAGACATTTACTAGCTGCTCCTCGGAAACCCTATACAGGGTCGCTATGGGTCGCAACCAACTTGACAGCACTTCGTAACAACAACAACAACAATTGACCAAGCTTTTGGTTACACAATTTTCTTAGTGCTCCAAAGAAATGGATTAGTCAGGGTGATGGTGGGCCACTGTGCCTGATACTTGAGTTGATTCACCTTTCTGTCTTAAGTGGTTTTGACTGACTCCCTCTTCTGTGCTAAAGAATGTTTTACACAGCAGCATCCCTTACTCCTTTGTGTTTCATGTCTTACACACCCCTTTCACTCACCTGTTGAGTCATGGAACTTTTTTTTTTTTTTAATGTAGTGACCTATAGAATATAATTTTAAAATGTATCTTGAGAAAGCCTACCCAGAAAGCCTTGAACCTGATGCCAATACTATGGACAAACAATCTCATTTTGGAAAATGACTTTTCTACATGGAGTCTTCATACTTTAAATGAGAGATTTCAATAAATATCTGCTTAGGAAAAGTATTCAGACTTTCTAAAGATTTAGGTAGGCTTTTACTTGCTTGAGAATATATCTTTTCCCCCATAATCAAGCATCTAAATGAGTCTTAAATAGGAAGTCTTGCCTGTTAGAATGAATTTTATTTCCTGGTGAAAGACAGGACGTCTTTTTTAAAAACCTCTAAATCTAATGACTAACATTTTTATGGTGCATTACAAAATACTTCCATTTCCATTACATCATGCCATTTGATCCTGGCAACAATTTTGTGAGGGAGGCAATTCTGTTTTCCTCATTTTATGTATAAAAAACTAAGATTCCGAAAGCAGTGGCTGGTGATACAACTGGTGAACTGAGTTCAGTTTTGGGCCCAGGTCTTTTGTCACCAAATCTTATGTTTTTCCATTTTTTACACGATCTCTTTATAGATTTGATTCTTGATTTTCCTCACCAGTAACTAGAGGAGTAAATAACCAAGAAAGGACCCAGAGAATGTAATAGCTGTAAGGCTTTGGTTAAGCTGTGTTTTCTGTATGAGATTAGAGAGGGTAGGTGATTTACTCCAAGTCACTTGGCAATTAGTGGCAGAGCTGGGATGAGAACTAAGAAAAAGGCATCAAAGACATGTACTATGTGTGCCTTTTGAAACCACAAGTCTTTTATCAAATGCTGAGTATGTGTTATGGAAGCTTGGGGTTCTTTGAACATGAATTGAATTAGAGCCTTCTTGTGAGCTCTCTGAGAAGACTCAGACCTAGTTCTTTTATCTTGGTCACTAACATTTTATAAATGTTCATAAATATTTGTTGGATGCAGTAAACTGTGTGTTTTAACACACAATCCCAGAGCAATATTTAGGTACTGTGTACTATCATGCCATTGGTTTATCAACAATAATAGCAGGGACTCTCCTGCTCAAATTTGAATATCATTCAAAGATGATCAGAATTTTGATAGCGCACAGAGTTAGTGTTTGCCCCTTGTTTAGTCTCATAAATTTGAGTTCACACACAGTTCAAAGAGGAAAATTACCCAAGTTATACTACCTTATGACTTTTTATCTTAAAAGTACAACTTGTAAACCGTTATAGTGCACATTATAAGTCCGCAGGCAAAGGTCAAGCCATAATTTTACTATGTGTTATTTATTTTTGTGTCCATATTTACAGATTTATTCCATAGATGAAGATGAAAAACTAACATCTAGCTTGGAAATTATCTTACCACGTGATCTGGCAGATGGATTTGTGAATAATAAGCGAGAAAGCTACAAATTTAAGTAAGTTTATCTTTCTCCTTTGCTTTTTTGTTTTATTATTGAACCAACTCTGATACTGGGTTAATGTCTGCTTTGAAGCCACTGAGGAGCTCTGGTGGTACAGTGTGTTAGGCATTGGGCTGCTGACTTGGAGGTGTGTTCAACCCATGACACTGTATCTACCCAAAAGGATTTCCAGCCTAAGGAGCAGCTCACCTCTGTCTACAGGGTAGTTATGAATTGGAATTGACTTGATGGCAGTGAGGGGATGAAGTCCCTGGTACCATTTCCTGTGGTGGATGTAATGTGGTCTCTGTCTCATTTAGCAGATACAACTCAAATTGTCTTTTCAGAGTTGGGCCCAAGGTGGAAAAGAGTGTCTTTCTGTATCCAAGACCATGTTCCAAGACCCCAGCCTTTCTTTACTACGTCGGTTGCTCTGGTTGATCTTTTTTCCTACTTGACCCACTATAGTTTAGCACTTACAAAAAGTTCAGCGCATGACAAAACTTTATAAAGATAAAGAATTCAAGTACAATTTGTGTGCCACATTTTGACGTTGGCAGAGGCACTGTCTCTGCAATGTAAATTCCACATGACCCTCCTGTGTCCTTGCCTACAATCTCTGTCTGTGCAGTCCCGCCTGGTAGTCACAGCCCACATGCGGATCTTGGACATTTGCAATGTGTCTAGTCTGAATTGAGGTGTTGTTGTTGTTGTTGTGTGCCATAGAGTTGGTTCCGACTCATAGAGACCCTGCACAGGGTTTCCGAAGCTGTAAATCTTTACAGGAGCAGAAAGCCTCATCTTTCTCCCGCGGAACAGCTGGTAGTTTCGAACTGCTGACTTTGAGGTTAGCAGCTCAATTCATAACCACTACGCTACCAGAGCTCCTTGAATTGAGGTGTGCTGGGAGTGCAGCTCATAGCTTCACATTTTGATATTTTTATTTAATAAGATTCTGTGATTTTGCAGCAATACTTTTTGACTTACCCACTTATCCATCTCTCCCCCCACCTCCATCCCTTCTTTTTACTGCACTCTTTTCACAATAAAACCAAGCAGAGGCTTCTAGCACTTGGTTGCACAGTGAAGGCACTGCTCCTCTGGTCTTTGTGACTCCTATTGCCTTTCACTACAGTCTAAAGGATTAATTGCTGTTGTTAAGTGCCTTCAAGTCGATTCTGACTCATAGTGACCCTGTATAGGGCTTCCAAGGAGCAGCTGGTGGGTTTGAACCACTAACCTTGTAGTTAGTGGTCCAGGGCTTATTCTGCAGTGCCACACAAGGACTAATGAATACATAATGGATGTTTTGTGAAGGGGGCATTTGCCCATTGACACAGTCATGCCACATACCTTAGCAGGCTGTGCTTTCAGGGCAGCTGGCTTGAATCAGTCTTTATAAAGCGGCACTTTGCTGAAACATTTTATTCCACATGAATCCATTTGATTATTTGAAAAAATTGACCATATCTCTATCTGTTGACTTTTTCCAAAGTAGTCTTTGAACAATGTTGATACAAAAGAGCACATCTAATCTTATGCCTATTGAAATGAAATCATTTATTTCTAAATCTCTAAGTTATGCTTTCAAATCTCTGAGTCAAAAATACTGGCTTTAACATTTAAAACAAAGGAATGGATAATAGTATAGTCCAGAGATGGATATTTAGGCATATACTTATAGGATGCTTTCCCTCCCAAGCAAATTCATTTAATCAATAAAAATATGATATGTATTTATAACTGTGTGCTGTCCTATAGTGACGCATACAACAAATTCCTTCTTTGTGTGCGGGGCGGGGAGTGGGGGGCTTACAATATTACTGGGAAGAGGAAGACAAAGTGATAAGTGCCATGGAGTAAAGTAAGGCAGGGGAGGTGGGTGAGGAGTGTTGGGATGAGAAGGGGCAGAGGGGAGGGATGGGTGCTGTGTCTCATAGAGCAGTCAAGAATGTGCTACAGTAAAGGGGACATTCCAACAAAGATCTGAAGGAGCTAAGGAAGCCAGCCATTCAAATATCTGAGTGATGAAAACTCCAAGCAGAGAGAATAGCAAATGCAAACTCCTGGAGATGGGCAAGTGCTTGGCATGTCTCCGGAACATTCGAGGGGTCTACGTAGCATGAGTCCTGGTGTGGCGCTGTGGGTTAATGTACCAGACTGCAAAACCACTTGAACTGCAAGGTCGGTGGTTCAAACTCACCAGCTGCTCCTTGGAAACCCTATATAGGGTCACTATGGGTTGGAACCGACTTGACAGCACTTAACAACAACAACGTAGCTGGGGTGGAAGAAGCAAGGGGAAGAGGAGAAGGTAGAGCAAAGAGGGAGTTGTGGGAGTTAGGGGTGGGGATGCTCAGATCTTACAGCACTTAGAAGCCATCACAAGGACTTGGGTGTGTGGAGTGTTGGAGCTGAGGAGTGAAATAATCTCACCTGTATTTTATGAGGCTCACTTTTGGGGATATGTGGAAATAGACTGGGGTTAGGGGTAGGGACAAGGAATGCCACTTAGGCTGTTTCACTAACCCAGGCCAGAAATGTCAACACCCATGAAAGCAGCAGTCAAGAAATCAAGCAACGTATTGCATTAGGCAAATCTGCTGCAAAAGACCTCTTTAAAGTATCAAAGAGCAAAGATGTCAGTTCGAGGACTAAGGTACACCTGACCCAGGATGTGGTATTTTCAGCTGCCTCAAATGCATGTGAAAATTGGACAATGAATAGGAAGCCCATAGAACAATCTATGCATTTGAATTATGGTGTTGGCAAAGAATATTCAAAGTACTGTGGGCTGTCAGAACAAACAAATCTGTCTTAGAAAAAGTTCAACCAGAGTGCTCATTGTTGGTTTTGTTGTTTAGTGCTGTTAAGTCAGTTCCGACTCATAGTGCCCTGTATAGAGTTTCCAAGGAGTGACTGGTGGATTTGAACTGCCAGCCTGTGGTTAGCAGAGTGCGCCTTCGAATGGAGGATGTTCAGACTTTGTCTCTCGTTCTTTGGACATGTTGTCAGGATGGATCAGTCCCTAGAGAAGGACATCATGCTTGATAAAGTGGAGAGATAGCAAGAAAAAAAAAAGGAAAACTCCCCCCTCAATGAGCTAGATTGACACAGAGGCAAAAACAATGAACTCAAACATCGCGACAGTTGTGAGGATGACGTAGGACCAGACAGGGTTTTGTTCCGTTGTGCTGTGTGTAGGGGTCATTGTGAGTTGGAACCAACTCGACAGCACCTAACAATAACAAGGCCAGAAATAATGTCAGCTGGAAGCAGGGTGGTAGTAGTGGAAATGTTTAGAAATAGTTGGATTTGGATGTAATGGGAAAGACACAGCTGATAGGATTTCTTGTTGAGTTGGATATAGAGTGTTATAACAAGATGGCCCAAGATGAACATTTAGCAGGATGGAACTGCCAGTTCCTGGTTTGAGGAACAAAGGAACCCTGGGAGTTCTGTGGGTTAAACATTGGGCTTCTAACCTCAAGTTTGGCAGTTCAAACCCTGTGTAAGAAAGGTGAGGCTGTCTGCTCCAATAAAGTCTTGGAAACCCTAAGGAACATTTTTTAGGGTCCCTATGAGTCAGAATTGACTCAGTGGCAATGAGTTTGGTTTCTGGTTTGGGGTAAGAAATACTGTAGAGAGAACAGGCTTGGAGAAGGGAAGAGATCAGAATATGCTAAGTTTGAAATGGATTTTAGAAAAAGGCTATTCAACGTCCTCATAAATGAAAGGGCCTCTTAAGAATCCAGAAATCTAAGTTATGTCACAAAGAATGTTATTGATTAGCTTCAGGAACTTCAGGAAATTACTTTGTCTCCGTGGGCCTCCACTTCTTCCTCTGTAAAAGATTAGACAGAATTTATTAAAATCTCGTCTAACTCGGTGATTTTATTTCTCGCCTCAGTGGTTTTCAGAAGATTGCTGATCATAACGCCTTTTCAGATCATGTGGAACTACATTGTAAAAAATAAAATACTTTGTGATGGTGCTGCTTGATGTTTAATACACATTATATGATTTACTGTAAACACTGGTGCTTAAATATTCATTTCTAAAATGTGTGTGTGGGGGGGAGCCAATAAACGAGGCAATCTCAAGTGTTTGTAGTTCTATTGCCTGTTATTTTAAATAGAAGAGAATGTCATTTTTTTCAAGGAATTCAATATGCTTTATAAAATTACATTTTGCCAAATTTAAACCTTGTTAGAAGTGCCTGGTACATGGTAGGTACTCAATACAGATTTGTGGAATGAATAGGTCTATTAATGAATGAAAAGGCTATAATTAATTTTGGGTAAAGGACGCTTCAGGATAGATTTTGTGTTTGATTCAGTGCCTTTTAAAAAACTCTTACCATCTGTTCGGTTTCAACCAAACGCAACCCAAGGCTGAGTAGAACTGAAGAACAGAGTAGAACTATCCCATAGGATTTCCAAGACTGTAAATCTGTATGGAAGCAGACTGACACATCTTTCTCCCACGGAGTTGCTGGGTTCAAACCACCAACCTTTAGGTTAGCTGCCATGAAATTAACCACTGCATCACCAGAGGCCCCTTTTCTGTTTATTGTTGTTAAATGCTGTCGAGTTGGTTCCAACTTATAGTGACCCTGTGTAGGTTTCTATGGAGCAGCTGGTGGGTTTGAACCACCCATCTTTTCCGTTTAGTATATATAATTCCTTTTGCTTAACAAAGGGTGGCTAATTCTAAGGAAGAATCAATAATTGATTTGCTCAGTCATCACCAACTGGGTAGAGAAGCAAACCAGCTGTGTCTTCATCCTCCTCCAAGGCACTGCTAAGAGTCTGTGCTCAGATCTCATCGTAGACATGGCTCTGAGGAACACTTGGGCAGCCACAGCGCCTGATATGTCAGTGTAAGTATCGGAAGGCTTTGATGGGTGTCCTGGGCACAGTAAACTCACAGCAAACATTGCTGTCTAAATATAATCTTAACTACTAAATGTCACAGCATCCAGAGTATCTTAGAATCTCTTTTCAATCTGCTCTCATGTATTTGTCTCTCCAAAAAGGGGTGAGGGGGCATGGAAGAGGGAGGATTGATCCGCTATAAAGATCCTTTTGAGTTCGTGTTGACTAAAGACAATGAATTTCATTCCATTTCATATTTCAAATTCAGCTCCAGACATCCTTCTGAACTCCTCAGTGGTAAAATGATCCTCCATTTCACTTTTTTAATTGAACATGTGGTCTGTTCACTAAACTAGGCAGCCACATACATCAAAGGCTCTCCTCAACTACTCAGAAAGCTGCGTAGGAGCAGGGTTTGTTTTGAAGTTTTTACTTTAAAGTTTATTTTTTATTTTAAAAAATTAAAAATCTGCAGGAAAGGTGGATCAAAAGTTACAAATCTTTTGTGAGAGATTGAACAACCGTTAATATTTTGCCCCATTTGCTTCTCTATTTCTCTCTCTTGGCCTGCCTCCCTTTCTTTTTCCTTCCTTGGCACTCCCTTCTTTTCTATCTTCCTTTTAGTAGAAACATGTTTCCATGAGACCATCCTGGTAACATCTCCCTACCCTGTGCCATGACCCTGTACTAAACTGCATTAGAAAGGCCCTTAGAGGAGAATGAACTTGACACCCTATCACCTCCCCACATCCCTAGCCATTGCCAATCTGATACAGACTTCTCTCCGCACGGCCTATCTATCTTCATTCATGTTTTGACTTTTGACGAGTGGTCAGCAAAAGAAAACTCACAAAACCATCCTGAGAATTGAGTGGCCAATAAACATTAGGATGCAGTACCAAACTAGTGGAAAATTTCAATTCAGATTTTTAAAATTAACTTTGACAATCCTGTATCTCACAGTTACTTTCCTTTTTTTTTTTTTACAAAAGGTCAGACATCAAGTTCTTGGACTGCTTGTATCCTGTTCTTGGGTTTCCATTTCATGTAGTTATCGAGATTGGAATTTGATGCCAATTGTAGACACTATCCCTCTGGAGAGCTACACACACACACACACACACACAGAGTTTATTATTTGGTTCAAAGCCGCTGCAGTTTTTCAGAGGGGTTTATTGTGCAGAGCTTGTCAAAGCAATACTGTTTACCAACCATTTGTGTACAGGAGTACAACAGCTCAGTGTGGTTAGGATTATAGGACAAACATTGTGTTAAGTTAGGTAAGCCCAGTGATGTAAATACGGGCTAATTTACAATGCAGACAAACAAGATCCATTAATGCAATAGTGTTTGAAAGCTCAACTTTGAAATACGTATCATTTTAACATTTGCAGATTTCAAAGAATTTTTGATCAGGATACAAAACAAGAGACTGTTTTTGAAAGCATTGCCAAACCGGTCGCTGAAAGGTAAGATTTCCCGGGTTTTGTTCCTTGGGTAAGTGATGCTACATCTTGCATTCATTGCTCAGATAGTTGGGTTAGTGTGCATCAGTATATCAATCATATCCTCAGACCACAGAGCATGTAATGTTGATAGGATTCATCTTCGGTTTAAATAGCCCTTGAGTGATTTACAAATGACTCATACCTAGTGCATTTAGATTCGGAGCCTCAAAACAAACTAATGAGATGGACAGAATAGCTAATATTACTCCCATTAAAAAAAAAAAAAAAGATATGTCTACAAGGCATCGGACATATCTTTTTTTGCATCAGACTGCAAAGCCATTTGAACTGCAAGGTCGGCGGTTCAAGCTCACCAGTCACTCTTTGGAAACCCTATACAGGGTCGCTATTGGTCAGAACCGACTCGACGGCACTTCACAACACAACAAGACATCAGAGATGACATGCCATAGTTCAGGGTTGTGGAGCTATTTGTGGTAGAGTCTTATGTGACTTTCTAACTGTTAAGAAGACCAATGTTCTTTCCTCAATATAGTGTTTCAAACATGTTTTGGTGGTAAAGCATGAGGTAAGCACCTGGGATGCTTAATGAAGCATGGCCCAGTGTGACTTTACCTCAGTGTAATAACTAAGTGGCCCTTAGCGTCATAGGTCCCTTTTGTTTCTGTATAACCAGATAGTTGCAGGCTGCTGACGATTAGAATCAGACTCACATGAGAAAACAGGACAAAGCAGAGCGCCAGTTTACTAATATAGAATGCAGGCCCCCAAACCCTTCAATAAAAGCACTCTCCTCCTGTAAGAAATCTATATGGCAAACTGCCACTAGGGGTCCTGGGATCATTTGGATGATTGTGGAGACCTAAGAGCCTCCAGATATAACCATTTACATGATGAAAATTAAAATAATATATATGTATACCAAGTTTTAAAGTCCAATAATCAGTATATCCTTCTACTTGAACTTTGCTGAAAACATGTGTCTGTATTTTGTCTGTCTTTTTGGAACCTTTGATTGTTCAGAAGGAAACGAGTCCTGGGCCAACTCCTATCAGAGAGGCTAGACCACCCAGCCCCTCAGTCTCGGGCTGCTGTAACAAAGGATCCAGGAAAACGGGATTTGTTTCGTTCACTAGCTAGACAAAGGCTTCCAACTGCATGACAACATGGGCCATGTTACTATATCTGCAAGTTCTTAGTGAAGGACCATTTGGAGTAGAGCACAGACCAGAGCCTTCTAATGGTGCAATCAACAGGTGTTCATTACCTACAGAATAAACAGGACAGGGATGAATAGAACAGTGCCCATTATCACCAACCTGAATTCCCAAAGTTAGACTCCTATTCTGAGGATTACATCAAATCCAGGCAACCCTCGTTCACATCTTGAAGGAGAAGGCCTTGGATCCTTTCTCCCTGGATTAAATGACTAATCGGACAGCCACATCTATGTGCCACATGGCTTGTTGAGACAATAGGTCGGGAGGAAGGCAATAAAGGGGGCTAATAAGAGGTAAAAAAAAAAAATCACACACACCAATCTATTGCTATTGAGTCCATTCTGACTTATAGCGACTGTATAGGCAGAGCAGAACTGTCCCATAGGTTTCCAACGCTCCATCTTTATGGAAGCAAGACTGCCGTATCTTTCTCCTGTGGAGTGGCTGGTGGGTTTGACCTTGCAGTCAGTAGGCATGTACTTCCCCACTGCACCACCTGGACTCTTTAATAAAAGATGTTGCTAAGTGTTGTCAAGTTGAAAGGTCGTAATAGAGATGGAGGCTCTCTCAGGCAATGGGTACCACTTATTGTTCCTCCTCAGAGTAGGCTGGGGATACTGGCACAAGAGGACAGGTTTTCCTACTTCACCCCACTAAGATAGAGGTCTTGGTTTCTTCAGAGAGTCATCATCTCCCCACAAAACACAGATTTCATGTCCATTAGCAACTTGGGAGATGTGAGGGTACATCCAGCCAAGATTTCAAGATTTCAGAAGTTAAAGGCAAGAGCATTTTTATTCCAGAACCTCAAATTGGTTCTAGTGGGTCATGTTGTTACCAATAAAACATATTCCTCATTGTCTTTTTCAGTTTTTCACCTTGAGTTCCTTTCCCCTTGAAATTATTTTGCTGTTTTTTTGTTGTTTTCCCCCCGTTGTTAGTTCTATCTGGTTTATCTTTCTCTATGTCTTGATTAAACTGCCCTGGTATAATTTGTTTTAAATATTGTTGTTGATGTTAAGTGACATCTAGTCGATTCTGACTCATAGCGACCATGTATATGGTTTCCGAGAAGCAGCTGGTGGGTTTGAACCACTGACCTTGTGGTTCGCAGTCCAGTGCTTATCCTACTGCCCCATTCCAGGAGTCTTGTTTCTGATATGGAACTGGCAAATAGAATATAGCTGGTTGAGTTCATTTCCAGACCTGAAGGGTGACTAAGGACCTCAAACGCAGGAGTGTTACCAGTCTCTGTCCAGTCCTGGTGTGGCATTGTGGGTTAATGTGCTGGACGGCGAGGTCGGTTTGAACTACAAGATCAGCGGTTCAAGCTCACCAGCTGCTCCTCAAAAATTCTATACAGGGTTCCTGTGAGTTGGAACCGACTTGAAGGCACTTAACAACAACAACATTCAATTTTCAGTCAAACAATAGACAGAGGTATAAGGGGATCAATAATATTAGTGAGATACGCTCACCTTAGAATAATCCACCTTCTGAAATCAAAAGAGCAGCATTTACCCAAGGACAAAGTTCAGAAGGGATAGGAAAGAAGGAGGCATGGAAACAGGAAACACAAGGAGGGAGTAAGATAAGTGATGTTACATTGTGCAGATTGCAGTCAGTGAGATGAAGCAAAATGTGTATATGTTGTTGAAAACTGACCTGCTCTGTAAATCGTCACCCAGTATAGTTCACAATGAAAAGTTCAAAAGGAAAAAAGAATATAGTTGAAGTTTGCCTTTTCAGCCTAACTCAGATTCCTTGATCTTTTATTAGTGATTTTAAACTGTTTATATTTATTGTGATTACTGTAACATTGTGGAGCTCTTCTGCTGAAATTATTTTTTCTACTTATCATGGATTCTGTGTTTTGTTCTTTCTTGCTTTGTGTTTGTGACCTTTTGTTGCCATGTTTTCTATCAAGTTATTCATTCTACATCAACACTTCTAGTGCCTATGTTAAGGGTTTGCATCCAGGTATTCAAGTTTATCTATATTTTCCTCACCATCTGAATTTGGTCTACTCGTCCCCCTTAACCAATCAAGACCCTTAATACACTTTTACTTTGCCTCTCCTAATCCCCCACCATTTCCAGTGTTGAGGTCAACTGAAATTTCATTCTTCATTGTTATTTATCATTTTTATTATCAGCATTTATGTAACTTTGAGTGATACTGACTTCTTTGCCCATCTCTGTTTCCTATACTCTTAGCTATTTTCTTGATTCATTTTCAGTTTTGCTGATGATTATCCATTAGCAGTTTTTCAGAGCGAGTTCAAGAGTGGGGAACTTTCTGAAGCCTCTTTGTCCCTTCACATACAATGGTAGTTTTATTGGGTATAGAATTCTAGGTTGGAAATTCTCTCCTCCCATCTTTTAAGATATTGCTCCATTATTTCTTTGAATACAACATTACCAAAAAGATTTCAGTGTCAATCTGATCACTATTATTGTCATTATTGCTTTTAGGAAATACTAGATTTTACTTTCTGGGAAATGTTAGAGTTTGTGTTTTTCTCCTTTATTCTTATTTTTATGAAATTTCACATCAGTGAACTTAAGTATACATTTTATCATGTATTCTTTTTATCTCTTATTGAGCCAATTGAATTAATATTTAAGCTAAAGATCATCAGATTGATAATTTATTTGATAGTTTTTTGTTTTGTTTTTAAATCATTTTCTTCCCTCAAGTATATCCATTCTTTTTTCTGGAACTTCTGTTAAAAATTGGAACTACCAGTTATATTCTTCAAATGTTTTAAATATCCATGAGTGGTTCTTACTTCTTCAATCTTTGGTCCTGAGTTCTGGAAGAATCTGTCAGCTCAGTTTCTAGTATAGTACTTTGTTTTTCAGCATTGTCCATTCGTTATTTGGCCTGTCTCTTAAATTCTTGATTTTTACAGCTCTAGTTTATATTCTTTTGAAATAAAAAAACAGTCTATTCTCTATGCAAAAGACTGAAACAAGACCTTCACCTCACACCATATACAAAAACCAACTCAACATGGGTTAAGGACCTAAATGTGAATCCCAGAATTATGAAGGCCATCAATGAAAAACTCGGGACAAATGTGAGGGCACTAATTATGAGAATACATGGACTACAAAACATTTTGAAAACCATACAAACAAAAATAGATAAAATAGATGAGTGGGACATACTAAAAATTAAAAACTTATATACATCAAA